ATCATGTGAAAATATCTATGATGCGCAACCGATATAATGATATATGTTAGCAAAGGAAATGTTGCAAATCGCCGTATGATGTGATGTTGATGTTTTTTTTTATCATTTAGATCCTAAGCATGTACATGGAGTTTCCTATGAACGATGGGAATGGCCAATCCGCTTACTTACAGGATTCTACGGTGCTAGGTTGAAGACTTCTCAAATGTTTCAAAATGAGGCGTTAAGTTCTGACATCTTGCCAACATTTGATGTTGTATTACCACGTTGGGAATGGGGCAATTTTGGAGCAAAACTGTCTGCATACTTAATGGTAAGCACAATTTAAAATGAACACTAGGATTGAGTGCAAACACTAAAATTATGGAAAACATTAGTAATTAAATGGTGCTGAATTGTACTGAGTTATTCCAATTCCTTTCTTTTCTTTCATCGACTCTACTTTATATATTAAATAAATTTTGCACTACTTGGTTAGTACTCTTTCACGCTTTTAATGTTTTCAATCTACTAAATGAATCTCGTGTTGGTGATTATTTTGGAGGACCAGATAGTGTAGATCGGTGTTTACTAATGCGGAGACCTTGCACGTCACTGGCATTGTCGCAATGACTAGTTATTGGGGTACTTACCTTTATATTTGGTATTAGTTAGGAGAATAGTACAAAACTCATATGTTCGCATATAACGCATAAAAGTATCATTTGCGTCTCGATGCGTCAAATTTGCTTTTACGAGTTAGTTTTATACGGTTTTTATTTCAACCATCGTTAACTAGTCCTCGGTAGTCTGTGCTGAGTGTGTGTTACCGTTATTATTGTAGTTATCAATTGTCTTTTCAAATAGCTAGCATTCTATTAAAAATTAAATTAAGGCCTTGCTTTGTGATAGAGCAAACGCAGGAAAACCATGAAATAAAATCAAACTAAATACTAACAAACAGCGGCTATTTAGAGACAAATTGTCAGTATCAATGAACCAGAACACAATAAAGATGAATGAAAAATGGTCCCATGTGGATTCATCTTTATTGCGTTCTGGTTCATTGAACCTTTAACAACCTTTAAACGGAACAAATTCTCTTGACCCTATACGTGAATATTTTTGTGCCTTTCCAGACACTTCGGCACTCAGCCTTTGGACAGTGAGAGTATCTTGTTCCTTGCCTTTGTCTTTACTGATCTTTTTTTTGGTGCTCTTTTCCTGCATGTTTTTCTTAAACGTATTCCATCTTGTTTCCTCCGTCATGTTAACAATAAAGTTGCTAAAATCCAGTAACAATACTACAATAGTAACTGCTCCGTCGCCGAAGTCACTGCGGAAGACAGTCACTTTCGGCGAAATACATCCTGGTCTATGGCAGCTCTAGGCCGGCGACACCGATTTAAATCACTTTCATTTTTTTTCATTTTTATTTCTATTTTTTTTAATAAAATGAAAATAAAATCGAATTAGAATGAAATTAAATCTGAAATACGAATAAAATCAAAATGAAAACAAAAATAACTTTAACATGAAAATAAAAATTAAAATCAAATGAATTCAAAATAAATAAAAAAATTAAATAAAATGAATTCAAAATGAAAATTCAAAATTAACATGATATAAACATGAAGCAAAAGTGAAATGAAGAAAAAACGAATGAAAAGAAAAACAAAACAAAAACAACAAGAAAATTAAGACAAAGTATAAAAAAAAAACTAAAGAATAAATGAAAAAAAAATTGAAAAAATTATTTGCAAAGCCATTTTTCTCTATGGCAGCTCTAYGCTACCATAAACAAGCGAACTAACCATGAAGTAATTTGTTTATTATATACATACTGAGATTTAGAAACTAAAGAAGACGAACATATAGACAGAAACGGTAACATTTATATGGTGTATTTGAAAAGTCTACCGAAACAGGTTCTTTATTAACAAATCAGAACTTAACTTAAGCTTAAGTTAAGCTAAATATAAAAAAAATATCAAAAAGGTTATACCAATAAAAATAAGATTATGTAAGAGTTTCTACCGTTCTTCTCCAAGTAGTCTTTGGTCTTCCCCTTGCTCTTCTTCCCTCCGGTGTCCATTCTAGAGCTATCAAACAGTCACTTTCACTTTCCCCTCTGAGGATATGACCGATCCAATTCCATCTTCTACGCCTYATTTCGTTACTGAGCTTTTCTACTTCTGCTATTTCTCTGACCTTGTCGTTTGTGACCTTGTCCCACCATCTTATCCTCAAAATATATCTTAGGCACTTGATTTGAAAAGTATTTAGTTTCCTTTCATCTTCCTTATTGATTTTCCAAGTTTCACAACCATATAATAAAATAGGTTGAACTAATGAATTAAAAACCTTTAATTTAGTCCTTCTTCCGATTCCTCTTACTGTCCAAATTCTCTTTAGTCTTCTAAATGCACCACGAGGTTTCTGTAGGCGGTTATCGATGTCTCTGTTCCCTCCTTCTTCTTTGTCCATTGTGGCCCCTAGATATGTAAACTCTCCAACATCGATATCTTCGACCTCTTCTCCGTTCAGTAATACTTTCTCATTTCTTTTTGCACCTTTTGTTCTCAATGTCTTACATTTCTTTGCATTTAACTTTAAACCGACTCTTAGCGCTTCCTCTACTAGATAAACACTGTGTAGTGTTAAGGTCGCTGTATCTTGAAGACAGTAGTACTATATCGTCTGCAAAGTCAAGGTCGTCTAGAACAGTTGTAAAGTTCCATCTTAATCCCATTCTCCTTTCAGTCGTCACTTTCCTCATAATCCAATCAATAATTAATAAAAATAAAAATCCAGACATGACATACACCAATCATGGAAAAAAAAAWTTCAAACCAAGGCACCTGATTGATCTTCCAAGTCGAAAAAGAAGGGGTGTTCTGTCTACATTTTTTGATCCCAGGCCTATAAAATCAAGGAAACTTGACACAAAAAATTTAGAAAAACTAAGAGATGATATTAAAAAAATAAATCCTCATATACCCTTTAGTAACATGACTCCTAATGCTGAAGAAATAACACTGGTTAACTCTGTGGTTGGCTTGATAGCCAAGGGATCTGTTCTTCATCTACAACTCAAAGACTATTATACGACAATGGATGAAAATGAAATAAGCAYTTCATTTTCAGAGTGGCCATCTATTCAGTGCCCCCACACTGAATTGTTAAACCAATGTAATAGTGGTGACAATAGAGAAACTATCATTCAGTCTGATGAACTCTATCCAATCATRTCCCCACCAAAACAACATCCTGTCAGCGTAGATGACATAAAACAGCACTGTGAKAGAATTAAACGGAGGCTTTGTGTTGAAGAAAATGAAATACAAAGCATTGAACGGGAAACTAGAGGTCAATCTACTTCTTCAAAGTGGTTTGAGCATAGATTTGGAATGGTTACAGCTTCGAAGTGTCACCGTATATCTTGTAAACACAGAGCTAGTACATCTCCCACTAAAATTGTGAAAGATATTTTGAACTATGATAATCACTTTCAATCAGATGCTATGAAAGAAGAACTAAAAAATGAACACTTGGCCTTATCCATGTATGAAGCAAAAATGAAGAATACTGGAAATACTGGATTCAACGTTCAAAATTGTGGATTTTTTGTATCAAAAGACAATGGGATAGTTGGTGCCTCTCCTGATGGCCTTGTTACAGATCCATCTTCAGAAAATCCCCATGGTATTGTTGAAATAAAAAACATCATTGTAAAAGAAAATGAAACTTTATTTGAAAGACTTCAACAGCAGTCCATTTGCAACAAGAGTGGGGAATTGCTACCCTCCCATAAATATTACTATCAAATGCAACATCGGATGTATGTTGTTAACCGACCTTGGTGTGACTTTGTTGTTAGAGTGAGTAATGATGAGCTGTTCGTTAAAAGAGTGAACTATGATCCAATATGGTGGAATAGCACATTTTTACGTCTCAAGTCATTTTACAACTTACACATTCTTCCTGAGCTGGCATACCCTAGATTGAGACATGGTTTTTCACGCTTCAGTCTGCCAGAAGACATTGAACAAAGATTCTAAGTTGAAAATTAACATTGTTTTTGAACGTTGATATCCTTATATTGAGACTGTGAACTTTATTGTACATAATAAATATATCATTTTAAAATGACAAAAGCCAGCTATCATTGCTTAGATACAATAAATGTACTAATAACTTACAGCATAAATTAACCAGTGAGAGCTGTTTTTTGCCAGTTGACTAATAAAGAGCAAACTGTCCAGATCTGATTGACAACACCATTCATAGCTAAAGGCAATACTTGATCAAAAATATGCCAACCCTTTACACGTCTGATTGCTCGCTCCACATGTATTCTGACATTTGCAATGCTCATTGTTTCAAAACACTCTTCTTTGGAGAATTGGTCTTGAGTAGACTGCCTTTTGGGAGGGATATACAGTTTGACTCTCTTGTGAGCTAAAAGATCTTGGATGTCAAAGCCACGATCAGCCATGATGAGATCAGGAGGCTCCAGCAGATCAATCAGGTGAGACTTTTCTACAAGTTCTCTGTCAGAGATGCTGCCTCCATACAACTGACTCACAAATGTAACCCATGCATTTGGAGAAATTCCAACAAGTTCTTTGTAGGTATTGTGTGATTTGTATTCAGAGTAAAGTTCACTTTGTGCTTCAAGGCATAGGGGCTTTTCAACTTTTATCTCTGTACAATCAATTATATATGTTATAGATTCAAACCTCCCCTTGAAAGCTTCTGGTAAATGTTCTTTAATTTTTTGTCTTGTTGACCAACAAGGGAAACTTCTAAGCACAACATACAAGAAATTGCTCCAAGTAATAATAATGTCTGATACAGAAGACACAGAAATGTTGAATCTGTGAGCTAAATCACGTTTAAAAAGACCTAGTAGAATTCGATAGAGGAACAACCAGAATTCATCTACTGGATTCAATGAATGTTTTGCACCAACATGGCTGTCAAATTTCTTACTCATTTTATTAAGATATGGAAATGTGTCAACACTACTGATTGAATCTGTCCTGTCTCTGACATAGCTGTAGTATATGAGTTTTGATGCATCACTATTTATGTAATTCCCCAGTTTTAGGAGTGTTTGTGAGTCAGCAAATCCAGTGTAAAAATTGATATCCTCATCACTGCCAGAAAATCTTTCGAGATCAAACTTTGACATCCTTTCCCTCTCCTTTGATTTGAAAATTTCAAGTTTTAGAGCAGTAATTTGCTCCTCCAGCTCCTTAATTTCATTTTGGAGCTGTGGTATATAGGCATCTTCAACTGAATTAAGACCTGAATGTTGTGAACTGTACTGAATTGGCTCGACTTGACTTGTGATCTTTATAAAGTTTTCTTTTTTGTTTGTTTCAATTCGCTTAGTCCTTTCTTCCAAACGCACGCCACGATGGTCAGGAACCTCTTTCTTCCACTTAAAAATAGATGGTATTGATCCTTTCTTAAGATCTCGCCGATGTCCAGTTAGGCTCGTCTTAAAGTCAGATACAATACAATACAATAATTTTATTAAGCAATCCAAAAATGGCTTTTCATGCCTAATTTACAATAGTTTCCAAATTTACATAAGTACAAACTGATAAAATTACAATGA